CGCTGGTGGGCTCGCGAAACGCGTCGAACGATCCGCCGCAGAATCGATCGGTCGTCGCGAAAGACGAAAGGTGGCTCGCGCGAATCGCGAGTAGAAAAATGGACGCGAGCGAACGATCGTTCGACTGTCCTGCTCGCGAGGTCCTGCCCGTTATCGTGACGACCGTCGCGTCATCGTTCGACTCGAACATTTCTGAGCGGTGCGACCATCTTGGAGCGGCTTAATCGTGGAAAAAAGCGAAAAGTAAAGGAAAGATCGAGCGAGCGTTCGCATACATGGGTACTAAGTGGATCGTCGCGTTGACGATCGCGTGGCTAACGTTTCCGGTGAACGGCAAAACGACCTGTCGCGAGGTGCAACTGCCCCGCGACTGCGAAGCACTGTGCAAGAGGAACCGTCACGGCGTCATTTCCTGCGAGCTCCGGGTGGCTGTCCTGCTTCCGGCCGATCCAAGCTACGACATCTCCTTGCCGAAGGTTCTTCCGGTACTCGGTAAGCGTCATTTTCGCGACCTACGAATCTCGGGAAGTGACAGTTGGTTGTTTTCGCAGACCTGGCCGTCTACGAAGCTCGATCGCGAGGCCTTCTACCCTACTGGTTGAAACTGACGTTTCTTTCGCAGGACGATCACTGCGACGCGATGTACGCTCAGATCGCCGCGATCGACAGCTTCTCGAACTGTGTTCATCTCGTTCTCGGACCCGCCTGCGATTATTGCGTAGGTAAGCGATCGATTTCGACCTAAAACCGCTCTCCCGGATGCTCTCGTTGATCCTCGCGTTTCCGTTTCTCTTTTCCAGCCGCCGTGGGCAGGGTGGTGAAGTTCTTCGGCACCCCGCTGATCACCACCGGCGGCTTCACCTTCGACTTTACGCAGAACAAGACCGAGTGCAAGGACGAGTACTTTATGACCACCAGAATCGGGAACTTGGCGTTCAGGGACATCGCCAAACTCATCGTGGCCGTGATGGACCGGTGCGTGTCGATTTCTTTCCGATCTTTGCTTCCCGATTTTAACGCGTTTTTCATCGCAGTTACGAGTGGAGGAAAGTGCATCTGATGTACGCTACGAACGGGCAGAGCGAAGTGGCCGGCAGGCACACCTGTCAGTTGATGATGAAGTCCATGGTGGAGTTCGTGAAGAAGCAGCGAAACTTCACGTTCGGTACGCTCGACGTGGAGACCGCCGATAATTACACGGAAGCGTTACGGACTCACGTCGGCGTGTGGTACGGTGGTAAGTTGTTTCTCGAATCTGCTTTTTCGTGTCCTTCGAGCGAGTAGCGGCGTAAACGCGTCGATTTTAGGAGAAATCGTACGCAAAACAGACGCGTCATCGCGTAAACGCATTTTACCGCGTAAACGCGCGAGTTTATCCGTGGTTGCAACGTTATCTGTGTTTCGCTCTCGGCTGTAATCGCGTCGACGTTAAAAGGGGATCCCGTAAATGGCTTTGCAAATTTAACGAAAGCTCGAGTCCCGCTAATGCGTGGCAGCTTTCGAGCGGAACGAATAATAGCGGAATCCGGCCGATTCGTGCGCCACGCGCCCACGTTACGCGTTGGACATTAAACAGCCGTATTTCCCTTTCGTTGAAGCGGCATCGATTCGCCACGGCGGTGGCGTGACTTCTCATCGGACGCTAAAAGAAAGCTTAGATCGACCATCTAATTGACCGTATCAATTAGACGAGGCGAGCAACGTTATCGCATTGTTTCCTACGCGTTATCGCGACGCGTTATCATCGAGCCGAAGCGTTTCTATTATTGCTCCGTTACGGCACGATACGCGGCGACGCGTCACAAAGTCTATATTTATACGTTTTCCCGACGGACGCGTTAAAAACCGAGTACGTACGCGACCGATAGCCGACCGAAAGCGTTACGAGATTTCCCTGATCGATTCGCGCGGCTCGTGACGGTTCGAAAGACGCGGTCCTCATCCCGCCGATAACGATCGCTGAATCGCGTACCTTTGGTCGATAATCGGAAGGTTATCTCAGCCGTCGATAAGTCGTTCCGAATTTCGAGTCGAGAGATTTCGAACTTTGAATTTCGAGAAAAAGGGGATCGGACGAGGGCAAGGTAACAAGGTACACCGAAAAGGTGTAGCGACCCGTCGTAACGGCCACAGGGCGTTACGCTTACGACCAGATATCGGACGCATGCGTTCCCGTTCGCCGTTCCGCTCGCGTTCGCGATCGGCGCAGCGACGCGTACACACGTATCTACGTGTCTACGTACCAACGCTATCCTAGACGCGCTTACGCCGGCTCAGAGCGGGAGAGAAGAGGACCGTGGAGGAAGAGCATCTCGTCTAGCATCAGCGGCGATCCCGCGAGTCGGACTTACCGCCTCAGTTTCAATCGCGCGCCCCGAGCTCGCTTCCGTCGTGCATTACTCTGATAACACTCTTAGCAGATTTCGTATTTTTGGACCATAGATTCGAAATCGCTCGTCTCCTCGTTGAAAAAGCGCGGGAAAATCTGTAGATAGAGTTACGGGTGATTAGAGTTTCGCGAAAGTATCCCTCGGAAATACACCGGTATACGCGCGATTATCGGAAGATAGGAAATATAAAAGCGCAACTATCATTGTGAAGATTCGATCGAAGAAATCGCGCGGTTTCGCGAGATGCGAAGACGGCGCGTGGGCGTGTGCCCGGAAGAGGCGAGCGTGTTTCCGTGAAAGATCGAACGTTTCGCGGGATGCGATCGAGAAGGTAGATCGTTCCGCGAGATGCAGCGGCAACCGAGACGAGGAAAGTGGTCCGGACGCGGAAACGAGGCGCCGATGAGATTAACGTTGCTCCTGACGACGATGTGTGCCAGCGCGACCGCGAACGTCACGATGGAATCGAGAGACTGCTTGGAGACGCGAGCGTCGCTGAAGAAGGAGGTAAAGCTGGCGGTGATAGCGCCGGCCGATCCTCGCCACGAGCAGAGCTTGCCGAAAGTTTTACCGGCGGTCTTTTTGGCGGTGAAGGCGGTCAGTTCGCCGAAGGGACCTTTGGCTGGATGGGAAATAAAGGTCGATCATCGCGACTCGCGTTGCTCGAGCACGTACGGCCCTTTGGCCGCCTTCGACTTTTACATCAATCGCACAGCAGGTCGTTCCCGTAATTTACGTCCTTTCGCTCTTTCTTTTCCTCTCTCCTCTTCGGTTTCGATCTCGATGTCAAGGGTATCGAGCCGATCGCGACCAATACGGCGGTGGAGAATCGATTCGCGCGGTCGCGTCCCAAACGGCTCGATGATCAGTTAACGACGCGGTTTAACGAGGACCGAGCAGAAACACCGAGCTGTCCTCAACGGGGATCGCTGCGAAACCATCGTTACCGAACACCACTTTTCTCTTTGCTCGTTATTTCGAGACCGTTAAATATCGCTCCAATTCCGTTTAATTAACTCTCTGGAAGTTCTGCTCGTTTCTCTCTTCCGTCGGGAATTAGTCGTCCGCAAAAGCGATTCTTTCGCTCTAAAGTCGTCCGTGACGTTTAGTCTTTCTGAAACGCTTTCGACGATTCGCGACGATCGTGTTTACGCGACGAGCGGCAATAAAGCGACCTCGATCGAAACACGCGGGACTCATCAACTTCTTCTCTTATTTCGCGCGATCAAAATCGTCTCTCGTTCGTCGAGATTTTTCGTTGTCGCGAACCCGACACCTCGGGCGCGGGAACAAAGTTTCACCCGCTGACCCAGCGAGTCGATTTTCCTGCAGGCTCTAGTCGAGAAGCGCGTTAATCGACTTCGCGTCACCGCACGATCTCGATTTATGGCAGGTACGGAGAGATAAACGTTATCGTTTCGCGAAAACTCGATAAGCTAATAATTCTCGTTGATTCGGTTGAGAACGGAAGGGAAGCAACCGCTCTCGCCGACCATGGAAACCACTACGCGCCACTCCTCTCCTCGTTGTCCCTGCAATTCGCGATCGCCCCGAATTGCCACGCGGTGGTTATTTTGCAACGCTAATCGCCGATCGATCGCCGCGTCGGATTGGCCCTTCGATCTCGATTTTCTCCGCGAACTAGGCGTGGTTCGAACACCGAGTCTTTTTGCTTTCGTCCAGGGCGAGAAAAAAAGCGACGACGAAACAAGATAAAACGAGGTTGGCTTGCAACTCGTTAATGAAATTGAATCGTCGGATCAAGCTCGAGACGTGGAGCGTTTAACGCGAGCAGAATATTTTCGGTTGGAAACTTTTCTCGGCAGGAAAAAAATTGCTACGCGTGCGAGGGCAGTTTATCACGATGTATTTGCCGAAGTCGATGTATCGGAAAAGTAGAGAACGAGAGGAGAGAGAGAGATGGAGAGAAGCAGAAAAATGAAAGCGATATTTCGGTTGATGAACGTAGACGCCTTCCTGGGTCCCGTGTGCGATTACGTGATAGCGCCGGTCGCCAGATACGCCGGTGTCTGGAGCATTCCCGTGCTGACTGCCGGAGCCCAGGCCGAAGCGTTTCGGTACAAGGGCGAGCACTATCCGACGCTGACCAGAATGATGGGCTCCCATCGGCTGGTGGGCGAGGCTCTCAGACACATCTTGAAACGGTTCGGCTGGAAAATCGCCGGGCTTCTTTACCACAATCACGCGGTGGCGAGCAGTCGCGGCAACTCCGAATGTCACTTCACTTTGGGCGCCGTGTACACGGCCTTGAATCAGACGCCCGTCTATCGGAGCTTCAACCAGGAGACGACTTCCGCCGAAGAGTATCGAAACTTGCTCGTCTTTCTCGCTAAGTCCGCCAGGAGTAAGTTTCGCTCGTGCGTTATGGTCGGTGTAAAACTCGCGTTACGGCGAACGCGTCGGAAAGGCTGCTCGATCGGAATACGCGAGGGAATTAAAGCGGAAATCGATGCAAACGTCGAAACTTTTCTCTTCGTTTCAGTCGTGGTGATGTGCGCCAATTCGACGACCATCAGGGAGATACTGCTGGCTGCCGAGCAACTGGGAATGGTCGATTCCGGAGAGTACGTCTTCTTCTCGATCGAATTGTCGTCTAGGTAAGTTCACCGATACGAATTCGTGATCCCTGGAGTTAGCGAAAGTAGAGACATGGTAACGCACTTCGTTTTTTTCGTACCGTCCTCGCTGATCGAACGTTCGAGCGAACCGAAAAATTTGGTCCTTTCAGCGACAACGACTCGAAAGAACCGTGGAGGGTGGAAACGGACACGGAGGAAAGAAACGAGAAGGCGCGAAAGGCGTATCAAGCGTTGTTGACGGTGACCGCGCGAACTCCGAACAATTTCGAGTACCTGAACTTCTCGCGGGAAGTGAAATCGCTGGCGCAGAGCAAATACAATTTTACGTTCGGTAATAGTTCGGTTTCGGCATTCGTCACTGCGTTCTACGACGCCGTCCTTCTGTACGCGCTCGCTCTGAAGGAGAGCTTGCCCGAGTACCCCGAAAAGATAAACCTGGACGGGGGAGATCTGACCCGGAGGATGTGGGGAAGAAGCTTCAAAGGTAAGTTTGTTTTTTTTCATTCTTGAAAAAATTTAAATTTAACGCGAACCCCCGGTTGCAGGTATCACAGGGGACGTGAACATCGACGACAATGGCGATCGGATAGCGGACTATTCTCTCCTCGACATGAACCCCGAGTCGTCGAGATTCGAGGTAACTCCCGAGATCGATCGACGATCGTCCCGTTTCGATAACGCGCTCTATTTGTCGCAGATCGTCGCTCATTACTACGGTGCCAATCAAACGCTGGAGTATCTTCCGGGAAAAAGGATTCGATGGTCCGGCGGCCGGAGCGAACCACCACCGGACACGCCCACCTGTGGTTTCGACGGCTCCCTGTGTCCCGATAACAGTAAGTTTCCGCAGCCCTCCGCGTTCTCGTTTCACGCTTCCAATCGGTTCTCTGTTCTACGACAGCTCTTCCAGGACACGCGATTCTATCGATGGTGCTGAGCTCGATCGTCGTAGTCCTCGCCGTTGTATCGCTTTTCATCTACAGGTAAGTCCTATTGTCTCCGACGTCGGTTTGCAGACTGATCTCAACGTTTTTTTACAAGGAACCTGCCTTTTGCAATTCTGAAGGAAGAATTGACATTCTGAATGACTTTGAAAATGAAGTCATTTACTTGTTTTTACAGGCACTTTAAGCTCGAGGCGGAAATAGCTTCCATGACGTGGAAGGTGCACTGGAACGATGTGATCGTAGTGCCGAACGCGAAGACGAGAGGCTCCATGTACTCGTTGATAGCGTACAGGATGCGCGGTAGTCAACTGGTGAATACCCTAGAGACGCGTTTTTCCGCGGTAGCATGTCGAGATATTACGAGAAAAATAGGTCGCGTTCCTTGAGCTTCGAAACCGCGAAATGACGTTTCTTTATAGCTTCTTCCGTAAGCGAAATTTTTTCCGACTTGTCTTTTTTCCTTCCAGACGATGTGTTCGATGGAGAACGCTAGTCTGCCTGGCGAACTGGACAGAACCGTCTACATTTCAACGGGGATTTACAAGGTTCGGCTGTTATAATCACGGTGTAAAAGGTGATATTAATCTCGTATTCTTTGCAGAACTCCAAGGTCGCCATAAAGCCGATCCCGAGGAACAAGGTGGAAATCTCGAGGCCCCTGTTGCTCGAATTAAAGAGGGTGAGTCGCGGAACCGCGAGAAAGTTATTTCCGTACTTTGATGAACTATGCAACTCTTTTCCGCGCAGATGAAGGATCTTCAACACGATCATCTGGTACGATTCTACGGTGCTTGCGTCGAGCCGCCGCACTGCTGCCTCTTGACCGAGTACTGTCCTAGGGGGTCTCTTCAGGTTCGTCGTATGTTGTCGAACACGATCGATTAAATCTCGAGTTTCGAGGGTTATCCTGCGATTCGAATTTTGCGTATTCCGTAATAGTCTGTGTGAGAGGAATTAATTTACCTACCATAATTTTGTCTACCACGATAATGAAACTATGTCGCGATGAAATCGTATTCGAAAAGATCGCTTATCAGAGTAATGGACGTTTTCGCGACAGGATATCTTAGAGAACCAACAGATCAAGCTGGATCGCATGTTCCGAGGGTCTTTGATACACGATATCATTCGAGGCATGGCGTACCTGCACGCGTCCGAGGTAAAGAGTCACGGCAACCTGAAGTCCTCAAATTGCGTGGTGGATTCGCTGTTCGTTCTAAAGATCGCCGACTTCGGACTGCACGAATTGAGGAAGCCGAATCCGTGCGACGCGGAGCAGGACAAGAACAGCTACGCCTACTGGAGAAGTGAGCGTCCGTTATCGAAGGAGCTCGTACGACGGAGGGACAAGCGTTCGTATCCTTCCGTCGTTGCGAATTATGATATAGGAAATGTCGTTGTTTATTCAGGGCAGCTGTGGACGGCGCCGGAACTGCTGCGAATGGAGAGGCGACCACCGGAAGGTACGCAGAAGGGCGACGTGTACAGCTTCGGAATAATCGTCCACGAGATCGTGGTGCGTCGGGGGCCGTTCTACTTGGGTGACGACCGCGACCTCTCTCCAAACGGTAAGCGAAACTGGCGGTTTTCTTTACTATTCGTGCGGAAAAGGGGAAAAGGAGCTACCGGTAAGGGAGCTGGAAAGCTCGTATCGACCGCGAGGGTGGTGGGTCGATCGGTAACGAAGTTTACGAGCTTCCGCGAGCTGCTTGTCGAGAGCGGCAGGATCGATCACAGGATGGAACGTGCCACAAGTAGGCTAGGAGCTTTTCGAGACGGGGGTTGAAAGCTCAGTCGAGGCTTTCACGCGTCCTGGAACGCACACGGTTTCGCGCGCGCTACCTCGTCGCTTCTTTCTATCCGTCTCTTTCTCCTTTTCTGTCTCTTCTTCTCGTACGCGCACGTACGTACTCGCGCTCTCCCCTCTACCTCCGTCTCCGTCCGGTGCCGTTTTTCTCCTTTTCTCGGGGTTCGCGATCGGCAACGCGAAATCCTCGGGATACGCAGTTACGTCGGACGTTAGGTCCCGGTTACCGGTCGTTTCGATCGATCCACCTTTGGGAAATCGAGCGTGTGGGTGCCTCGCTGCGTGTGTTGCGTGTTTGCGTGTTACTCGGTACGTGGCTGTGTTTACCGATCGTTACACCGTCCCATTTACGCGGCCCGATTTTCTCTATTGCTCGATATTCAACCTCTTTTTCCCCTCCGCCCCTATTTCGCTCGTTCCTCCATCTCTCTCTCCCCGTCTCTCCCTACTTCTCACCCTCTCGCACTACCCTCGCCCTCTCCTTTCCCTTTTTCTCTCGCCTCCTCTTTTTGCTCGCTTTTTCGAAGCCAATTACCCTGATTCCGTATCCGAGATCCGGCAATTAATCGATTACTTCGCACGGGCCGAAACACGCGTCGCGAGGCGATACGATCGAGTGCGTTACGCTGCCGATCGTCGCGAATGTGCTCGAAAATGCCGCCTAGTCGCAAATATCCTCGAGACCGATCGGTGAACAAAACGTTCGTGAACTACGCGTCTTTTCATTTTGCGCGCGACTGTTGCCGAGACTCGCGATTAAATTGTCTGTAAAATCGAACAATTCGATACTTATGGACTATAGGAAATGTTTTGGAGTAGTTTTTTAGCGTGGCGTTTCGAGCTTACGTGCTTCGACGTCCTTTACTTTTCAAGGTAATTCGCTAATCCGCGCGGTTACGACTTCCATGAATCCCGATGTTCCGATGATCGCGCGCCCCGAGAAACGAAAAACAGAGTGGAAAGAGCGAGTGCGAGAGAGCGAGTAAGAGGAAGAAGCAGCAAGAAAAGCGTGTAGTGATCGGGATAGATAGAAAGGGGAGAAAAGATGACGGAAAGAAGCAACGCGTCGAGCACGAGTAGCCTAACGTTGCCGGCGATGCCGGGTGCAAGTCCCGACGGCGGAGCCAGTCCTCGAAGGGCCGTCAGTCCGTTGCTCGAAGTCCGTAGGCCTCACTGCACTCTCAACTGCGAGACTTGCAACGCTTTTCTGGAGGATCTGGGGAGCTGGAAAGCTCGTATCGACCGCGAGGGTGGTGGGTCGATCGGTAACGAAGTTTACGAGCTTCCGCGAGCTGCTTGTCGAGAGCGGCAGGATCGATCACAGGATGGAACGTGCCACAAGTAGGCTAGGAGCTTTTCGAGACGGGGGTTGAAAGCTCAGTCGAGGCTTTCACGCGTCCTGGAACGCACACGGTTTCGCGCGCGCTACCTCGTCGCTTCTTTCTATCCGTCTCTTTCTCCTTTTCTGTCTCTTCTTCTCGTACGCGCACGTACGTACTCGCGCTCTCCCCTCTACCTCCGTCTCCGTCCGGTGCCGTTTTTCTCCTTTTCTCGGGGTTCGCGATCGGCAACGCGAAATCCTCGGGATACGCAGTTACGTCGGACGTTAGGTCCCGGTTACCGGTCGTTTCGATCGATCCACCTTTGGGAAATCGAGCGTGTGGGTGCCTCGCTGCGTGTGTTGCGTGTTTGCGTGTTACTCGGTACGTGGCTGTGTTTACCGATCGTTACACCGTCCCATTTACGCGGCCCGATTTTCTCTATTGCTCGATATTCAACCTCTTTTTCCCCTCCGCCCCTATTTCGCTCGTTCCTCCATCTCTCTCTCCCCGTCTCTCCCTACTTCTCACCCTCTCGCACTACCCTCGCCCTCTCCTTTCCCTTTTTCTCTCGCCTCCTCTTTTTGCTCGCTTTTTCGAAGCCAATTACCCTGATTCCGTATCCGAGATCCGGCAATTAATCGATTACTTCGCACGGGCCGAAACACGCGTCGCGAGGCGATACGATCGAGTGCGTTACGCTGCCGATCGTCGCGAATGTGCTCGAAAATGCCGCCTAGTCGCAAATATCCTCGAGACCGATCGGTGAACAAAACGTTCGTGAACTACGCGTCTTTTCATTTTGCGCGCGACTGTTGCCGAGACTCGCGATTAAATTGTCTGTAAAATCGAACAATTCGATACTTATGGACTATAGGAAATGTTTTGGAGTAGTTTTTTAGCGTGGCGTTTCGAGCTTACGTGCTTCGACGTCCTTTACTTTTCAAGGTAATTCGCTAATCCGCGCGGTTACGACTTCCATGAATCCCGATGTTCCGATGATCGCGCGCCCCGAGAAACGAAAAACAGAGTGGAAAGAGCGAGTGCGAGAGAGCGAGTAAGAGGAAGAAGCAGCAAGAAAAGCGTGTAGTGATCGGGATAGATAGAAAGGGGAGAAAAGATGACGGAAAGAAGCAACGCGTCGAGCACGAGTAGCCTAACGTTGCCGGCGATGCCGGGTGCAAGTCCCGACGGCGGAGCCAGTCCTCGAAGGGCCGTCAGTCCGTTGCTCGAAGTCCGTAGGCCTCACTGCACTCTCAACTGCGAGACTTGCAACGCTTTTCTGGAGGATCTGTACAGGCACAGTAGGTTTTTATCTTTCTTTTTCCACGTTCGGCGAAACGACCTCGTTTCTGAACGAGAAAACGGGGATCGTTTCACTGAACGGCCGCAAGTAGCGAACAGTAAGAGAAGTCCGACGCGCCACGATTCGATCGACGCGCGAGATCAACGTTTCTGCTTATTTCTGCGAATCCGCTTTCGAACCGTGCGTTCCGTTTCAGAAATCGTGGAGGCGGTGAAAAGGGGCGGTGGTTCACCTTTGCGGCCTGCGATCGACGAGTCCATGGTCGAAGAAGAAGTAAGCACGTTTTCTTTCTCGATTTTCCGATACCGGATTCCTTCGGGTCGCCGCGAAACAATAACGAGCGCGATTTCGATTAGGTGGCTACCTTGATGAAGAAATGCTGGACGCAAGACGCCGCGGACAGGCCGGATTTTCCCGCGCTCAAGCAGACCATTCGAAAAATTAACAAGTGAGTAACTCCGGCCGATTCTTTTTCTCCTCTCCGGAGGTCGATCACCTCCGATATTGGCATAGTTGATATTCAACTATTCGGAAAGTTCGCTCGGATTTTACCTTCCGGAGGGAGTTTCTCCCTGTTGCGAGAATCGCACAATTCTCGCTGGAATCTTTTTTCGCGATCAACCGTTGCAAACGTAATCGACGGATATTTCGAACGCGTCACGAGGGTCGAGCACAATCGATCGATGGAAGCATCCTGTTGCGCGACAACGGATACTTGCGCAGACTCGCCGTTATCTCCATTTTCCGAAACTATAATCGCGGATATTAATTTCGATCCTCGAATATCTGCCCGGGATGTTCTTCACGAGCAGGGAGTGTTCGTTTCAGAGATTACGAGAGCAGCAATATTCTGGACAATTTACTGTCCCGCATGGAACAATACGCCACGAATTTGGAGACCTTGGTGGAAGAACGCACCGCGGACTACCTCGAGGAGAAACGCAAGTGCGAAGAACTGCTTTATCAGTTATTGCCAAAGTGAGTGGACGTCGTTTCACTTTCGATCGAGCAGCGACGGAAGCGAAAGTATCAAACTGATAGTTTAGAGATAGGTATTTGGAGAAACTTGAATTTTCAGGTCCGTCGCGTCTCAGCTGATACTCGGTCAAAGCGTGATAGCCGAAACTTACGATCAAGTGACCATCTATTTTAGCGACATCGTAGGATTCACCAAACTGTCGGCCGAAAGCACGCCGCTCCAGGTAGTAGACTTGCTCAACGATCTCTACACGTGTTTCGATTCCATCATCGAAAACTTCGACGTGTACAAGGTAAATCGTGGACTCCTCCTAAGAGGACGATTTGTACTCGAACGGTTTAATTTCCTCAGGTGGAGACGATAGGCGACGCGTACATGGTAGTGTCCGGCTTACCGGTGAGGAACGGAACGAATCACGCGAAAGAAATTGCCAGGATGAGCTTAGCGTTAAGGGACACCGTGATGACGTTCAGTATACGGCACAGGCCAAACGAGCAGCTAAAGCTACGAATCGGAATGCATTCCGGTAAAATGTTCTCGATAATTTTTCTATCCCTGACCAAGTTGGATCGCTGCCCGTTTTTATTCCGATTTAGAACGAATCGCGTTTCTCGTTGGTCGTTGCTCGTGACTTACGATCGCGCGGTAAATATTCGTAGATTGACCGGATCGACGACTCGCGATTTCAGGACCCTGCGTCGCTGGCGTGGTCGGCCTCAAGATGCCGAGGTACTGCCTCTTCGGGGATACCGTGAACACCGCCTCTAGAATGGAGAGCAACGGAGAAGGTAACGCACTTGTTCTTCGATACTGAGAGAAGTACTTATATCAGTTTTCCTGCAGCTCTCAAGATACACGTCAGTCCAAAGACGAAGGAGATCCTGGACACTTTCGGCACCTTCGAACTCGTGTGCAGAGGCGAGGTCACTCTAAAGGTAACATCCTTTTATCTTCTCTCTGCGACTTTGCGTCATCTTACCGTATTCGACAGGGCAAGGGCACGATGACCACGTACTGGCTGATAGGCGAGAAACCGAGGACCAACGTTCAGCGTGCGAACGTTTCCTCGATAACGACGACTGTGGCGACCACAACGCCGACGACGACAGCAGCAGCAACCATGACAACGATCGTGACGACGACACACGCGGCGAAGCAGGAAGATAAACGACCGAGCGATACGACGCGGAGCTGTCCGGAACAGAGCACGAGCGTCCGAGTGCCGACAAAGGTTCCGGAGGGACCTCGGTCGAATCAGGTCGGACGGCGGTCCATCGGTCCGCGCGAAAGTCGCAAAGAGACGAGCGACGACGGAGGCGATGGTAATAACGCGACGGGAACGACTCGCGCTCGTTCGATATCTGGTAGCTCGATGGCGGAGGGCTCACCGTCTCGAAATCGCGTTTCCGGCTC